CTGCGGAAGGCACCCACCTTTGCAAACGTGCCCAATAAAAACTTCTGTCTACTGGACAACCGAACCCGTGTCTGTCGTTTTCTGACACTGTGATCCAAAGGGTCACGGGTTGTCTAGTATATATTACAAAATATCCTTTTCCTGACGCGCCCTGAACCTCTGCGTGCTTCGAGTTGTGAAGGGCAGACATGCCCCATCAGAAAAATCTGAGGTTTTGTTATTGGAAAGAATGCACGTAAGCCCGACGCTTCCGTGGACTCTCATTCATCAGTTCCGTTCGCCAGGTGGAGGGGAGCCCACGTGACTCAGTTGAGAACCGGAAGTGCTTGCAGAGAACGATTGACGTATGCGTGCGCCTCTGCCGCAGGCGCCTTTTCCGCTTCCGCTTCCCTTTCGGCGGAGTTGCTACGTGTCTTAAGAAGCAGCGTTTGGTGGCGGCGTCTGCAGCGTAAGGACTTTCTTCAGGACTGGTGAGTGTAGCTAATTCGGGTGATTCTGATGTTACTCTGTATTTCCTTCGGATTGTTGGCGAAAAAGAGAAATGACGACCCCCCGTGTTCTCAGTGCCAAGAGTCAGTCACAGCGCAGCTCTTTCCTCTTCTCCTTGTTCGTTGCAGAAGCTTCAGAGCGTTTCAGCTCTCCTGACCTCAGACCCGGCGCTTTTTCAAGGCCAGATTAAAACGTGGAATTGCCTCTCTGAAACTAACCCGAGGAGACGACATTTCACGATATTCTGTTAGCTCTGTCCTTGTAGCTCAGCTGCATCTCCTTTTTACAGCTTTATGTGTTTCACTGCATTACTGGTGACCTTAATTTAATACAAGCACTTGAATCTATAAAGCCCCAACAAACATAATGGCCTTTCGTGCCAAAAAGGGTCCGAGGAAAAAACCGGAAGGAAGACAAAGAGGCTGCAAAGGAAAGCCACTCTGCCTGTGCCCAGAACTTCTTGCTTTCTTTGTCTCCTGAATCTTAGTGGCTGTGCAAACAGGTCAGTTTGCCTGTTATCTAGTCTGGCAATATTTATGGAAAGGTAAGAAACTCTTTGAGATGAATCCTGCTAGCATTTTATGCATTCTATGTATGTTGAATTCGTCTTGTATTTATTTATAGATTTAAAAAACTTATATATAAACTTTGAAGCACACCCCAAGGGTAATATTTAACCCTAAGGGGTGCTATTATTACCAAACTGATGAATGGACAAAATTAATTGTAGTTAAGTAGAGGAAGTCTTAACCTTCATGGAGAGATAGAATCAAACACAGATTGAATATCCATGAACATGCTACACAGGGATGACTAGAAAGCGGACTTGTATTTTTCTGTCAAATGCTGTAACATTCAGGCTTGAACCAAGGTAGTCTGCCCTATCCTAAATCTTGTTGTTCTTTTCTCAGGATTTCTTCAGCTTCTAGCTACTCTTGTAACTTTCTCAACAGATGAGCAGCATAGAGTTTCCTAATAGTATTCAGCAAACTGATTGGCTAGTTGTTACCCTGGTTCAGAACATGCATTTTTTGGTAAATCAGGACCACAGTCCGCGGCAATGTGTTCAGTTTGGTAGAATAAGCTCTTTGCTTCTATTGATAAATCAGCATTAGAGTATATATAATCACCTCTGGAATTTTCCCAGATTTAATTTCTGTAATTAACAGCTTCTGAAAGAGTAACCATGAGCAACAGCTTTAAGTTTTCTGTACTGGCAGAACAATAATATTGGAGACATTAGTCCTTGAAAATGGATCCTTGTTTCTATTGAGGACACTTTCCAACTGCTGTAAAATTATTGTTAAGAAGAACCTGAAAGTTAATTTGTTTCTCGTCTTTTTCAGTTCATCATGGATCAAGTAATGCAGTTTGTGGAACCCAGCCGCCAGTTTGTGAAAGATTCTATCAGGCTTGTTAAAAGATGCACAAAACCAGATAGAAAAGGTAAAGTAATCAGGAAGAAAAAGGGAAAAAAAGAAAATTCGATGGTAATATCATAAGCAAAGTGCAAGAAAGAAACTATTTCTGTAACCACAGTGGATTTCTGTCAGTTTTCTGTATTGACTCACATGTTTTCATGATGATGATGATGATGATAATGTATTTTAAATAAGTGAAGGCAAACGATACCACAGATAATAGTACAAGTTGAAAAGAATATTTAAAGAATAGATAATGCAGATAAAAAACCCATATATATATATATATAAAAAAAACCCAGCCAACATATCTAAAATATCGTCTGATGCTATACTCCATAATGTTTCTTAGAGCATGGTCCCCCAAGACCCTCTCAGGGGTCCTCAAAATCAAAATTATTTGGCAGCCACTGTTGAAAAATAATCCAATATTAAAATCCCATCAAACAATCTTAAGAGCGGAGCAAATGCATCAATTTGACTTTTAATATGATAAATATCAACAAATATAACCCATGCAAACCAAAATTCTTTTGAGACCCTATATAATTTTTAATAGTGGGAAGGGATCCCTGAGAGAAAAACGTTTAAAAAACACTGCTCTACTACATCATTAAAGGTGATTACATTTAGTTTAATCAAAAGATTTCCAGAAGAGAGAGAGAAGCACAGGTTGCATTTCTAAAAAACCATTGAAGTTTTCTTGAGCTCATATTTTTAAGAGCTGTGCAAGAGGTTATTTTTTGAAATAGGGGCTAGAAGTGGATTTCTTTGGTAAAGTGAGCAGAGCAATTTTGAACAAGAGCCCAAAAATATGCATGCCAGCTTTATCAGCGGTGAGCACATTTTTCTTTCTAAGTGAGAACCGACCTTTTTCTTAGCTTAGAGAACGCAGGTCTCTCACAGACGCTGAGCCTAGAAAACACACGGAAAGCAATAATGTCTGATCTGGTATCTGATTGCTTTTCCCTCAGGTTGCCCTTTTTTTAAGTTACCATCCATTGCAGTGTTCTAAGCACTTTAGAAGGTGATGTGGTATCGGCTATCCTTTACGATCAGGTAGAGTTAGTTTGCTTCAGGTCCTATTGATGAAGCAATGTCATCTAGTGAGACCGAGGAAATGGCCCTCTTCTTTGCAGCGCCTGCCCTCTGGAATAGCACGCTCTGAGGTTCACTTGGCCTTGGCCTTTCGCCTTCAGCAGAACCCTAAAAATGTGGCTGTTCCCTCAGGCCTTGGGTTGGAGCATCTGGTGGGTTCCTCTAAGTTGTGGGGTATTGTGTGTGTGTGTGTGTGTGTGTGTCCCCTTGTGAAGCAATTGTGTATTTTTAAATATCATGGTGCTTTTTTGGTTTTTAATTTTATGAAGCTGCCCATTATTATATTTGGAGATGAGCGGCCCAGAAATTGGATAAATCAACTCATGTAATTTTTAAATCACAGAATTCCAGAAGATTGCCATGGCAACAGCAATAGGCTTTGCAATAATGGGATTTATTGGTTTCTTCGTAAAACTGATCCATATTCCGATCAACAATATTATTGTGTAAGTAAATGTCTTAAACTAAGTGCTGTTGGTAGAAAAAGATGTGACAAAAAAATTAATGATGGTTCCTAATATTCTGTTCCCCCTTTAGTGCTGTCTGAGAATCTTGTATGTCACAACATACTTGATTCGGTACCATAGATTCTGTGACACGTGAATATTTCTGTGACGGTTTGCTATTTAAAAATTGCTAAAGCGCTATAAAGAAAGTAAAGTAAATATAGAAATTAGAATAGAATGTGAGGTACTTTTTGAAAATAAGACATTAATAGCGTGTTAATAACCCTAAGATATCACAATACTGTTATTTGTTTCCTGAACAAAGCAGTTCCTTTAGAAAGGGGCATTTCTCAGGCAGGACAGTACTGGTGAAAAGGCCTGCCCCCTGATAGTTACTTGGCAATACCACCCAAGTAAAAGATTGAAGATTGGCATTGATTTTACAAACAGAATGACAGATTTGAGGGAGTAAGTTGACTGCTGCCTTTTGAACCAATTCAGATAATGAGACCATATTCTGTGGCACTGCCATATATTCTAGCTGGGATATTGCAAGAACATGAAGAAGGGGAATCATAGCTGCTCCATCCACTTCAGCTGGAAAAACAATTCCAGATTATGGATGCATTTGAGCAAAGTAAGAGCTAGACTGAACAGCATCAATCTTTTCTTTTGGATGCCATGAAATGCTGAATGGCATCCAAAAGAAAATTCACATGAGTAACAAAATGTTTGCCTTGCATTGACTACAGTATTTAATTGGCTTTTTTGATCATTTTTCCTATAACTGGTTCAGTGCATCCAGCATTGCCTGTGATCCTTATGCAAAACACAGTGGTGCATCAGTAAAAACAACAAAAGATATCTGCTGTCATTTTTATATTTTAAAAATGCATTCAAAAACACTTTTGTAGTCTTAATAGGAATGGTTCAACAATATAGCTCCCATATTTTTATAATTGGACCCATAAGCATTTCTCTATCTTCTTTATACATTATGCGTTAGATACAGTGGGGGACCAGATGATGTTCCAGGTTACCTACCTGTGCCTCAGTGGAAAATCTGTTCCAGTGTCTGTATTGCCCTATAGTTGTAGTAAATTATTTCTGCAACAAATATGGCTTCGGCTTTACTTGTAGAATAAATTTACATTTCTTTTTGGACTACATAAATTATCCGTTTTGGTAGGATATTTGACTAGTATATGGGACTGTCTTTGGTGGGTGAGCTATGCCAGGAATGGATGGGAGAGTGGCTATAAAAGCAGGTTTTTGTGCTGAGCTATCTGGCATGGTCAAGCCTTGAGGCCATTGCTTTCTTCTGGTCCTTTCTTCTGAGTCCAAAGAGGAGGGAAAGTGCATGCATCAGTTACTCCCCAGAATATATTAAAAAAAAAACAACTGCAGAATTTCAAAATGTTTCTTCTGATTGAGATCCAAAGTAGCATTTTAACTGAAGTTTAGTTTTGGCCAGTTAAATCTTTTTTCTCAGACAAGTATGTCCCATGACATGACACACAGACTTTGGAATCCTAGTTCTTTTGGTGTGCAGTTTGGGGGCCTGCTACTTAAGAAACTAATCCAAAATTTTCATTGAATTAATTAAATACTGATCTATATGTCCCTACTTGTATATAAATACATTTTAATTTTTTCACTGAAATTGTTAATTTTAGAGTAATATTTACATTGTTTCTTAAATAAAAGATAATTACATAATAATACCATTGAGTATTGTGTGGCAGTGTCTCGATGTCTTTTTCTTTTTACAGCGGTGGCTAAACACATCAGGAAGACATTTCTTTATATTGTGCATGGTAAAATAACAGATCATTGTGGACTTTTTGGCTCAATTATCTATGTAGATCTTCCTCTTTTATTACTTGTCAATATAAACTAGATTTTAAAGTAAAATTTGTGTGGTATCCTATTTGGTTAAGCAAACACATGTAGGTGAACTAATCAACACTTGAAGCTTTAACCTTGATAAACTAGCTGATGTGAGCTTTCTAGGGAAGAGGAGGTAACTTACGAAGTATCCCATTTCTTCTTGGAAGTTGGGGAAACATCAGTGCTGGAAAAATAAATGACTTTCTTATACTCACCTAGTTCAGATTACCACTGAAGATGCCCAAATTCTGTCAGTCTTCATGCTGAAAGAAAATGTGTACGCTTTGTTCCCCATGGGTTGTTCAAAGTAAAAATATAAGTAACAAACGTATTTTCACTTATATTTTTATTAAGGCAAGCGTAGGACTAATTTACAATGTGATATTTGTTGACACTGCTTTCCAAAACAACTGATTTCATTAAACTTTGGCAAGTTTTGAGGAACTGCTTTCATTCAGCATTTGTTATTGTGCTTAATACAGACTAGAGCCAAGATAAAATATAATTAATATTGCTTACATTGTAGAATTCTTTCTGGTTTAATTTCATTGGCAGAGACATACATGAGACTTAAATTTGGTTGTCAGCTACCATAGGATCAGGAGAGAAATACACGTATTAGACACTATACACAGACATACACACACACTTGCTGTTCTTTCAGTCCCTGGCACAGTTTCACTATATCTCTTTCCTGTGTTGTTTTAATGCAAGCCAAAGAACCTATCACTGCCGACCATTTCTTTATGTGTTCTCCACATCATAAATAAAGCTCAGCTATTTGTGACTAGACCAGCAAGTGGGAGACAGAGAATTTACTGTGTTCTTTTCCTTGTAGTGGAAAAGAGAGAGACTAATAGAGCAGAGGGAGGAAAGAGTGAGTGAAGCCAGGCTCTGTGCTTATGCACGGATGTGTATTGAGGGCTGCAGGGGTCTCTGTGTGTATGTGTTTATGTATGCATGTATGCTCCCTTGCCATATCTGATTTGTACTGCATCCTCTAGACTAATTTTAGATGCATTTAGTAATGGCTCCATACATTTTTTTTAAAGTCATGGCCATTCACTATGTGGCTATTAATTAGCCAGTAGCTAAGAGGAGGCACTTCTTAATCCAAACCAGTAGCAAAGTTTTTATTTTGCTACAGAGGTTTGAGGCATGGAAGCAACAGACAGAATAGAGCATGAAATGTTGTATATATCCACTTCCGATTAGCAATGTTACATGACTTTAAATAAATCAACTTCTCTATATATTGCTTAAAGATAGAGTTATCTGAAGATGCAGCCACTTTCAGACTTTAAAGACAAAAGCTTATAAATACAGCTTTGCTTCCCGAAAAAAAATCATAAAATCTATGGCATTCAGTAGACTGAAACTGCATTTTAAGAAACCAACCATATAAAATGTTGAATTTTTATAAAAGTATAATGAAATAATTGCTATATAAAATTCTCAGTTGGCTAGTGGTTGAGGTTCCAGAAAACTTCACTTTTAAATTTCAAGTTGAACTAAGTAGAGTGACAGTCTTGCTTGAAAGCACTCCCTAATTGCTATATAAAATTCTCAGTTGGCTAGTGGTTGAGGTTCCAGAAAACTTCACTTTTAAATTTCAAGTTGAACTAAGTAGAGTGACAGTCTTGCTTGAAAGCACTCCCTTTATCTTTAATTCCCATTGTCCAAAGCAAAGGCTTGTCAGTTTCAATGGTCACTATCCCCGTTTCATTGTAAGTGTTTGATGTGCTGACAAGTGTCCCAAACTTCAAAATACTTCTATCTGTAAGTAAGAAAAAAGAAATCTTTAATTCAAGATTTTTTGCCACATCATTTATACTCAGTGCTATTCACATATGCGTAGTCCTTGTTTAATGATGGTAATTGGGACCGGGAACTCCATCGCTAAGTGCTGTGGTCATAAAGTGAAATGTCATGGGTCTGCAGTGACTTATGATGGCAGTTGCCATGTTCCAGTTGCCATCCGGCGAATCCCGCATGGTTGTTGCATCCCATAGTCAGGTGATTGTTATTTGTGACCTCTTCCTGGCTTCATTGATTTTGCTTGTTGGAAGCCAGCAGTGAAGATTGCAAATGGCAATCACATGACCGGGGGCACTGCAACATCATAATTGTGAACCAGTTGCCAAGCACCCCAATCACAATTGCATGACAACGGGGACACTCTGATGGCTCCAACTACAAGGACCCATTGTAAGTCCCCCTTGTTCAGTGCTGTCGTCATCATTCAACAAGGACTGCCTGTAATGGTAAACATTCATATGCAAATATGGGGCTCCCTTTTGATGAAATTTACCACCAAATCATGGTGCTTTGCTGCATATCAGAGTATTTACACAGAATGTAGTATAGGCTGTAACTGCCATGGCTCCTCCCAAGAATTTGGGGATTCTTCTGAAAGTTTGAAGTACGTTTATTTAAGTTATGCCTGATTAACCCTCAGAATTACAGAACAAATCATAGGAGTATTAGTTCTTTTAAAATCATAGATACAAGTTCCAATCATACTGGATGGTAAGATTTTAGAAAACATTTAACCTTTTTAGAAAAGAAAGCAACCAGAAAAATACTTTTTCCTCAATGTGTTTAGATTTTTATTTACATGTTACATGTGTGCTCCTCCCCATTCTGGAAAAAAATTATACAGGCTTCCAAGTCTGTGGCTAAGGGTTTACTCTGGAGTGTGGATGTGTCAACATTTAGCACCACAGCACAGGGCTGCCTAAAGCATTCCAAAGAGATGCTCTGCCAGCAAAATGAAGTCTATGCAGAAACAGCTTCTGAAGCAACCTTGTGAGCCTCTCAAAGGATGCAGCTGCTTTCGCGCTTCAAGGAGAGGTGTTTTGTTAGTGATAGAGCACTTTGCCAAGCATCTTTTTCGAATTCTTTGTGTAGCTTTATTACTATTATCAAAGATACCAGTACTGCACAGTATAAAAGCTAAATTAGTAATAGCTTCTTTTGTCCAGTAGGTGCCCCCTTTCATCTCTCTTCCAGGCAGAGTGGTGGTTTTTTTTTTTGGTAAAACACTAGAGAAAAATACAAGAAATAGATCCCACTCAAAATTCATATAATTCTTGTAAACAAGTGATTAT